ACTTAATACAAATCATGTTCAACAGAGCGTAGTTGGCATATTAACAAATGTAAATCAAAATATCGAACTTCTCTGTAAATACATTACGTACAGGTAAGGGTAAGGCTCAGTGCAAAATTATAGACACATTTATACTTTTTACTAATAACTGTACATGAATACATTTTCTGTTAATAAATCTGATAAACCTCGGTGAAATTGACTCATAGAAAGGAAAAACTAAACCTGTGTTGGGGTTAAATATTTAAACATTTTTATTTTTAGAAGAACATATTGTTTATTTGTTTCTTTATTTGTGTTTATGTTTATTTGTTTGTTTGTTTGTTTGTTAATGTTCCGCTAAATGACTGCGTGATTGGTTGCTAAAATATTGAAAATGACAAACGGGTGGAGGACTATTCGATTAATTGCTCTAATAAATTTTTCATGGACAACTTGTTTTATGGAACATGTAGACAAAACTACTAGTGAAAGTACAAAGTGTTCTCAGGTGACGGGAACACTAAAGTTGAGGGCTGCAAGTTTACAAGTTACGGCTCTGAACCTGAACAGCCGCAGTTTATGGGCAACCCCTTGACCCTCGCCTAATACCTTCTGTAAACTTGTCCGAATTTTGGTGATAAGTTCAGAATACGCTTGGTATTATACAAAATAAATAAGAGTTACAAATAACAAATACCATGTTAAGGGTTTCCTGTAATGTCATAACTCTAATGATTTAAATTATTTTAATTTTTCAAAAAGAATTAGATGTAAAAAAATGCATCGAATGAGGAAATGTCGATTAATTATTTCATGAAATTAACATTAATTGTGTAAAAATCTACATTAATATTTATGAAATTATCTTACAGACGTTATTTTTATTGTAGTTTAAGTTGTATTAGGTTTCCATATATTTTTCTTGATATAAAGTAAATAGGTACTTAAATGTAAAAGATTTTTCAAACGAGCATTAGGTCTAATCAAACTCTTCAAAACGTCATGTCATTATAAATATATCGTCAAAGTTCTTTGCACGATCTGCAATGTTTAAAGAAGTTCGTCCCCGGGCATTTTTGGAATCCATATTAGTTTTAATAACAATATCCGTTTGTATTTTTCGATCGATCCAACTCGGGAGACAGCAAGGGGTTGAGACCCTCCAGACAACCCTTATGGATCAAGATGGATCGACCAAAGCTGTCATTTTAAACCCTCCTTATGAGCGTCAGCTGCTGGTGTTGTTTTACTTTCAATTTGTTAATGAACCAATTGATCATCCACCCTGATCCTCCCTTTAAAAAAATCTTCAATTTAAAATTGTTTATCAAAATTAATACATTGTTAAAAAAGAACAATTTTCAAAACGTATAAGCTTTTGATAAACTTATACGGTATCCGTTATCCGTTAGTGTAGATGTGTTTTTAAAGATTCAGTTTCCTGTTCAAAGTTACTTTGTTAAGTAAAAAGCTATGAAGAAAATATCAGTTTATACCTACCAATTTTTTTGTTAATATTAACAATCTAACAACTTGTTTCTTAACTGTAATTTTTGAAAAATGATAAGTATACAGTAGAACCTTGATAACAAGACTCTCATGGGGATTGTAAAATAAGACTTCTTATCAAGGTTGACTTCATATCGAGGTTTGTAATAACATGTGATTAGGGGTAAAATAATTTTAAGGGGATTTGAAAATGACATTTGTTATCAAGGGCAACCTACTACGTAAAATTATAATATCTACACGAGAAGGCAATAGAGCATGTTATGAAAATTAAGTACAGAGAGACATCATTGAATGTTAACAAAAGTACTTCAGAGAACTATTGTGAATGCATTATTTCAGATAAATATACATTGCTTTAAAAAAATATCTTCAATTGAATTCAATTGGGATAAGTCCTTGCTTCTCGTCAACTTACAACTTTAACATTTTACTAACCGTTGAATGACAACCACTTTTTTCAGAAAGGGTTGCTGCTATCCATACGTTACATACCATTAATAAGTCAAACGTATGCGTAACTGGTTGGTTTAAACCATGTTATATTGGCATAAACTTAAGCACTTTCCAAATTTAAAATTTTTAGTTTTAATGTTACTCAGTAAAAGAGTTTTCTTAGCTATATTGAAAAGAAGAGAAAAAACTACCCGCTTACAAGTATATTAATTTAAACTTATATAACCATTTTGACCAAAATAAACACCAAAAAGTAATTAATAAAAAATTCCCTGTACATTACACTAGGTTCACTATATTGCATTTGAATGGACAAAGAAAGAAATAATAAAAATGATGCAACAAATAATGTATTTTTATATTTAAAAAGTAAACATGTGAAAAAAAGTATATTAATGTAATACAACACATTTTTTATGCACAAAATACTTACAAAACTTTAAATTACTATGGACTTCTTATTACACCACTTACATAGTTAGTTTTTAGTAATTTATAACCTCAGATCTTTTGGTTCTAAAGCATTATGTTACTATACTAAGCATTATGTTAGACATGACCGATATAGAAGCGGTATTAGTTGGCAAACAAACAAAATATTCTGGCTCTCGTTTGGCCATAAAATCTATATGGCGCTGGGTTTCTGGGATGGCGGTCTGGATGTAGAACAATTTACTTGCTGGGCGCGAATAAAGAAAATTACACCAGTTTTATAGAAAACTCAATGGCAATTGTTAACTAGGGTTGCTTTCATAGCAGTGAAAGCCAGTTGAGCGGAGCGATCACGATTCATAGTTGTTAATAAAGCAATAAATAAAAAAATGTTTATAGATATAATACAAAATACAGCTATTTCATCAATGTAACTTATCAGTTTCGCTCAGAACTATTAACGTCTATAACAAGTGCCATAAGTAAAGATGTGGACATTACATCCATATCCTTTCCTGTGTTTGCTTGCTAAATGTCATCTGGTAAACCCGCGGTTCTGCTTTGAACCCGACCTTGAACCTAAACCAATCGACATTTTCTCAATCTTATGATCTTAGCCAGATTTTGCAATTCAGGCAGAAATAATCCTGCATGGATCCATACGATTAGCAGATGCAACTTTTCAAAGAATTGTCTGTTTTGATAGAATTAAATAACGTCTTGATCAGCATTGTACGTGTTATTAAATTTACGGAAAGTAAATAAAAGAAACGTCTTATAACACTTAAAACATATATTTACGCTTATACTGTTACTCACAAGACGGATAGAATTGAACAAAATAGTTGTCACCATACCTTATGAGGTGTGTTTTCTTAAATTTTGTACATTTAACGTAACTATTAAAAGCATAGTTTTCAAACAAGTGTTCTACATTAAACTATATCAAAACATTGCCAGAAGTAGTTGTTCGTGCGTTTCGGGCGTTTATTGCTCGTCTTCATTTTCTACAAATATCAGGCAGTTTTTGAGAATGCATTCTGAAATTTTCCTTAATATGACACTCTCATGAGAATTATGTATTTTCTTGTAAAACGAAATCGCAAAAAATACTTTATCCTTCTTGGGCAAAAATATACCCCAAGTCGTTGCCAACACAACAATCAATACAACAAGTGTGTTACCAACATGATAATATAATTAAAAACATTTCTAAGTAAATAATAAGAAAACATGTTCATAATAGCCTATTTAGATAAAAATATTGATTTGAGAATATCTAGTCATTTAATACAGCAGAATCATGTAGGGTTTTTAATTCCCAATAACATTAGATACATTGTATTTGTTATAACCTTATTTAGCTACGTAAATCAAATCTGTAAAATATTGTACCTATTCGATCAGTGGTGGTTTCCAAATTACGACTTTACTACATGAATTACATTGTAACTTAGATGTAAACTTAAGACTTTCTCTGTATTACTATATTTGATCAGTGGTCATCATCCGAATTATATCTTTATCGAGAATTAATTATAATTATCGAGATGTATCTTTTACAAAAACAGTTTGAGTCTATTTCTGAATATTTGAATAACAGTTAAACATTTTTTTTATTACAGTAGGCCTACATTTATTTAGTTTATAGGAATATTTTGTAAATCTAGTTTTCAATAATGGACAATGTCACCTGTTCCATCAGCATTGCTGAAAACTTGAAATGTATTGTGACAATAAAGGAATATTTCATTTCATTATATTCCTTTGTACTGTGTTTAGGTCGTGGATTGATTTTAACATTTGCTATGATTCGAGTTACTTTAAATTATGTAGGCATTATAAAAAATTGAAATTGGTTTCGTCTAAGCCTTCCAAGCATTTGAATAAACAAAATTTGTAAGTTTGGGTAAAATATGTTTAGCCGTTATTAAGTTAATGTGTGAGAAAGTTTTCATTGATTACGATCCCAAAGAGCTTCGCTTCGCTCCACTCAATTACAATTTCACTTTGCAATAGAGAATGTCAATAAAAATGTTTCTAACACGCTTTTAAAAATTTTAGAAGAATCTTTTCGTACAAGTACACTTTAATTATTTAAATACCGTAGAAAAATGATCAAAAAAATTTGTTCAGAAACTCTATTTGCAGTGTTAAAACTTTACACCTGCTCTTTGTACACTAGACAAATAGAACTACTATCCAGACGTGAACCCCTTAGCAATACGCTAAGTCTCAAGTACACAAAGAAAACACAGAAGACACAGGGATGAGAAAAAAATTATCAATAATAATCGCTATATTCATTACTTGATACTTGACAAAACTTGGTCGGATGTTAAAGAACTTTAATTATTTTGATAATGATAGTAGCCATATAATGTTTCTCAAAATTTAAGTAACCAATTAAACTCGTACTAAACATTATAAGTTTTTTTTTAGAAATCAACATACTTTTTTATAGTATGTAATATTTACAAATCTTGTACGATCGTCATCAACCTAAGATAAAATATTAAATTATAGCCTCTCTTGTGAAGTCAAATTTCATTGTGATAGTGAATGTCAAGAGTTTAGGTCTAAGTTAAAGATTAAGTTTAAGTTTGGCAATTTACACTCACCGGTTCCACAGGTTCACGACCAACGTTGACAGAGTCCAGGAAGGTTTGCAGGTTCGAGTCTAGTCCATGGAAGTAACTTGTGGGTGCGGCTGTCTGCTGCATTGGCTGTTTGGAAAAAACAGAGATACATCATTTGGTAAAACTCCACCATTTATATTGATACAGTAATATAGCATGTAAAAATTATCTACGACTAGGTTGTATTTGTCAATACTAATTTTCTAGTCAAGGTATGAACATCGCTCGGTAGATAATATTTTATTCCAAAAAACTATTTAATACTACAAAATTATATCTGGAACGAAATAAAAAAGTACCTAAATAGTATCTCACAAAATTAACGTAACAACATTCGAATTACCAAAATAAAATGGGTCAAGAAAGAAAATTGAACTCACAAATTTTTACGACATCTTAAAAATGAAATACAAATTTTCCTTCACGCTTTCGTGCTCAAACTACATGGATTGAGAGGAAATAAATCAAATTATCAGTGAAAAAAAATCAAATGTCAAACAATCCTAGTAATTGATCCTTTGGTATACCAGTGCCATAATAATTGTTCCCAAATTTAAGGTAGAATAGATTTTGAAAATTTTTCTGAAACCGCTCATATTTTTGGTTAATTTACATGACATCATACCAAATGCAAAAACAAAACTAAACGCATGGCTGCTTAAACACTTTTGTAAGGTAATCTATAGTTTGATAACTACGGTGTCCATGCCAAAAAGCCATTGTCTATTCCAGTTTCCCCACCTACCACTGCCGAGTGTCCTGTAGGGAGAGGACTGAACCCCATGGTCGGTAGGAGTGTGACGGGGGTCGGAGGTACAGCAGGCACGGGGATCTGGGGGCCAGGGATATACGAAGAGTCCGGCCAGATGACGGGGGGCTCCGCCCCAGTGGTTGGTGGTCTTCCGGGCACTCTCAGTGAATCATCTCTGAGGAAAAGGAAATCTTGAGCTAATTGTACTGAAGACCAAATGATATAAGACGAAATAAATTAAAATGCAAGATAGGAAAACCGGCTATTGTATTATACAGGTAGTTTAAATAACATGTTAATTCGTTGGTTGAAACATGTTTCTTAAATTTTTCATCGCTTGGCATAGGCGAACAGTTTGGTCATTTATTGAGATCTTGTTAGTTGAATTACAATACAAATTATTTGTTTAAAATTACGGGGTAATGAACATTTGTGCTAGCAAGTTTATAATGAACAACTTCAGATTCGTTATGTTAGGTTTTAAAAGTAGACTACTTTGATTTTGATATAAATATTTATCTTCTTGTAAAACCTAATAGACATTCAAGTCTTAAACACTCTTCACAACTTTTTAACTTCTAATAATATCTTCTAATAGTATCGTAAATTTGGTAATTTCTTAGCTAATATTGTTCCATCAAGTAGGCCTACTTTTTAGCACTCTGGAAACTCCAACGTTGAACATGTTTGATTGAGGTTAAACTAAACAGAGAAAAGTTATGTTGCTAAATGATTTTCTTTGGTAAGGCCATACACTTATTTGTTGGATAAATATTCATAATATGAAGGATTTATACTTTTAAATATTCATGCGAAAAGCTAGATTTGACTGTGGCAGAGTCCAGTTGAAATTAACCTGCTACGATTTGTGAACACTTTATATCCTTGAAAATTTCTAGACTACTTTTTGTTCTTTCAATATGTTGGTATAACCGACCAGCAGCTCATTCAAGGCCATAGAAGAAGGCAAAGAAGCATATAATTTCCAAGTGCAAATTGTAGGCAGAAATTATAAATGAAAATAAACGTGAGTGTCCTAAAGTCAATTAACAATTTCTGTCGAGTCTTGCTGTAAAGAAAACTTATTGTAAACTATAGCATCTGCTGTGTGCAAAACATTAAAAACTAAGGCAAGGAATGTAATTGTCTGGTTATATAAATCTGATCTCTTCTCCAGAATCCAAAATCAGGGGAGCAAGCTGGTCTAGTGGTAGAGCGCGGGACTTAAGTACCTGAGTTCTCGGGTTCCCGCTAAATCTCCAATATGCTTTATCTGAGCGATAAACCCTAGGTGTGACAAATGACACTGGGTTAAAGCCTAGCGTACTGGGACAAATGTTAACTTAATCAACCTCACTTGAAGCTAACTGTCCTCGGTTTGTCCTCCGCAGCATCGGACCACTCGGACTCCTCCTCTACCACACTCAGCTTGTCGTTATCCTTGGTGTGGTCCTCGGTCACCTCCATCGCGGTCGGGGCTTCGCCCTCGGCACCACCTTCACCCTCATCCTCATCCTCATCTTCTGACTCCTCCTGTAATGTTAAATAGTCAGAAAGATACAAAAGAAATATGCAGATCTTTGCAAAGTTGCCAATAACATGTATTTTATCCTTTACAACCCTATAAATGCTCTATAAAAATCCTGCGTTTCATATTTAGTATATTTACAAATGAAGTGATAATGTTATAACAAATGCTTAATTGTTAAAATTATTTATTTTAAAATATGATGCACACATAAGGGTTAAGAAGAAACACAATTTTAAACATTTCTCCAATTAATCATAGTAACTGAAGCAGTTCTCAAAAATGTTACCTGAATAAAAAAAATTCTGATAAAGAAGGTTTAAGATAAGATTAACCAACACAATCTTATGAGTTACTTATATATTAGCAGTAACTATATGACTACTTTCGAACTAGTTGTATCATAAATAAATGACTTCTTACAGTACATCCCTCAAATAAAACCGAACCTGTCATTAATTCTATGAATAAAGAAAATTCTCAGTTTTTTAAGTCAATAAACTGAATGAGAAGAAAATGTTCACCATTCACACATGCCATGGACATGTAGTAATTCCATAAAACATGTTTATAATGCAAACCGAATCTATTTGCTATAACCGAAGAAGGTATAGAACAAAGAAAATATTTTTTTAGATTGATACGTGGATACATGGAAAATAATTTAATAAAAGTCTACAAATTGAAAGTTAATCTCAATACAGCCTGTGACGAGAGCCTACCGTTGTCAACCCTCACTATAGAAGGGCGGAGAGAGGGGAGGACAGGGCAGGAAGAAACGTGCCTCACACATTTTTGCGGCTAACCATAATTGGTCAAATTTGGAGGAAAATTGAATTCCCTCATTCCTCTTTGGAAAGATTGTTGATAAAACTCAATATTGGTTAACCCTTGAAGTTAAATGGAAAACAAATGAGTTATTTTGTTATTTAACAATCTAATGTAGCGTTTGTTGTTCAAACAAGAGATCTCAATCGATTATCCAAACAGTGGCCTATTTGAACGTTCAGTACTTCTTCAGTAATTTTCATTCTGTGATAAATAAAAATTATTGTTGTTGATTTTTATTATGTTAATACTTTAAAGGGATTTAGTTTCATAATTGAAACAACGCTCAACAAAAACGATTCTAATTTTATTGTTATCAAAGAGAAATGCTGTGTAGTCTATAAAATTAGTTGTCGAAAAATTAACATTTCCTATAGATGTAAAGAACATAAAGTTGTAAACTTGATAAGATTATGATCTTGAGTAAAAAAAAATACAGGAAAGTTTTGTTGTTTTCACCCCGTACAATTTTTGAAGATGAATTAAATACAAATTCCATTGTAACATTTTACATTTAGTTATTCAAACTCAAGTTTTATCACTAATTACCTTTTAGGCTATTGTTAAGTAATTGGCTGTTTAACTATTCGAAGTAGCTAAATATCCAATTCAATAGTTACAATAATGTAGAGTAGTAAAATAGAATTTATTCTATGGTTGGTAGCAAGATCAGGCGTTTTGGTTTCTCGAGCTACTTATCTGTCTTGCGGAAAGTTTCATTCAGTTTGAAGGCACTTAGATTAATGTGTGCATATTACATTTGTTTGCTTTAAATGCACAGCAAAGCTTTTCCTCTGTGAAATACGAAATACGAATTTACTGTAATACTAATAATGTAAGTTAAAAATCCGAAAAAAGTTATTTTGCAAATGGTTATTTATGCTACTTTCAAAATAGTATACAGTATATGAACAAAGAGATTTAAACGTGTATGATTTTATCTGAACATTTTGACTACCCTCATAGATTATAAATAAGTTTTATACACTTCCTACAATAACTGATGTAAAAGATTGTTGTAGTACATTGTTCATTGTACAAAAAACAAACCAAAATAAAACCACCTCTAGTCCTAATAGCGTAGTGGGACTTTTGTAAATGTTTAACCTCTCGCAAGAATAGGTCGAGTATAATCACGTTTCTTAGACGTTATAAGACATGAAAATAAGTAACCTGTCACATACTCTAATCATAATCCATTTACTGTACCGTCTCATATGGTACCTACTTGAATAAAAATGGAAACATACCATCTGATAAAAATACCCCCGCCGCAGCAAACCTGCCGACTAAGCAAATTTCCATTTGTCTGAATTGATTTTCAGTTAAATATATTTTAATAACATTAGGTTTAATGAGTTGAGTACCTAGGTTTGCTGCTACAAGGAAACTAATAAAGTGTGTTTTTGAGTAAAATATTGATAGCTTATTACAAAATAAATAAATTTGCCAAGTTTGATCAAAATATATCCATAAACAAGCAAACTACAACATTTGACAATATTCTTCATAAGAATAACATGGGAATTTTAAACTTACATTTTTTTTAATTTTCTCCGTTACTAATAACCGAACAAATATACTTTTATATACTAAATTATTTGTTTTTTAAGCTCTTTCAAAAGGTCTGAAGAGAAATTGGGAAATTTTGTGTTTTGAGGGTCAAAAGTGAGAAACCCCAATTTTTACCCCATAAAACCCCCTGTAAAGCCCCGTTCCCATGGCTCGATCATGCTGGTTCGCGAACTCATTCAAGTTTATCCCGCTTTACACCTTTAAACCAAATTTCATCAAAATCGGACAAAAATTACTCAAGTTTTCGCGTTCACGGACGTATATATATACATATATAAAGATTTGAACGAATGGTGTTTTTGGCCTCTGGGGACATCAAAATGAAAAAGTAAATCGGTCCCGGGTCTAGGTCTTACCGTGCCACCTACGGTAATACTGTAGCTACTTCCCTATATAGTCTAGGCATATTAGGAAAGTTAGCAGAAAGTTTAGGTACAGTCCTAATCATCCCTTTTCTTTATGTTTTTTGGGTCGCTGAACACGAATATGAGGTTTGCTGACAGATATTTTGCCCGGAACATTGGTTATTTTGTGAAAAACCTTAAAATTTTGGGCAATTTTTTTTGGTTTTTCGGGCAAATCTCGGTAAGTATATGTTTTTGATAAAATCCTGCTTTGTAAAATTAAAGATGACAAAATTTACTACAAGTTTCCTATATAATGTTTGTTTCTACGACGAACCGTTTCGCCACTAGAGCACACTAAAAAAGGCCAGAAGTACAAAAAATTAAAAACATTGCTAAATGCTGCCGTTTTACATTACGTTTCCATGGAAACAACCCATGTTACGATAAATTGAACTATTTATTCATGATAATGAACTGAAACACACTTCATAAATCTATGCCAAGATGTATGACTGACTGCTGCAACATTTCCCGTTCCCACAAATCCCCATTTATTTTCTCAGCACAGGGATGTTGCTGGCCACAGGGTTGACACCTATAGTGTATGGTTGACTGCTATAGTGGTTGAGAAAAAAGGATGAAATACATTAAAAGAGTTGTAGATAACTTTTAACTTTGGTAACGTCAAATTCAGACGAGTAGACCGTGTCCAGCCACTTGCCATAGTAAATAACGCGATGAAAGTAGAGAATTCTTACCCGTAAACCCCAACACATTGTTTCAACGTATCAGCATCGCTAAGAATTCTGATGAAAAACTAAAACACTTCTTGTCCTTCTTACGGAGAAAATTCCAAAAATCTGTAAATTTAAAATGCCCATGTTATTCTTAATGGAGACTAAGTAAACTGTTGTAGTTTGCTTGATTATGAACATGTTTTGACCAAATTTGGAAAATGCATTCATTTCATACTAAATTGTTACATAAAAAAAACAGCTTTTAACCCTCTCTTTTGCAGCAAACCTAAGTACTCGTTAAACATTTATTTAAATAGGGAATAAATGTGATATTTCTAAGGAAACATTTTAATGTAAATCCAATCAGGGAAATGGAAATTCGCTTAGTCTGCAGGTTTGCTGCGGTGGGGGTATTTTTAAGTGTGTTTCAGTTTGTTATCATGAATAAATAGTTAAAATTATCGTAACATGGGTTGTTTCCATGGAAACTAATGTAAAACGGCTGCATTTAGCAATGTTTTTAATTTTTTGTACTTCTGGCCTTTTTTAGTGTGCTCTAGTGGCGAAACGGTTCGTCGTAGAAACAAACATTATATAGGAAACTTGTAGTAAATTTTGTCATCTTTAATTTTATAAAGCAGGATTTTATCAAAAACCCATACTTACCGAGATTTGCCCGAAAAACCAAAGAAAGTGCCCAAATTTTAAGGGTTTTCACAAAATAACCAATGTTCCGGGCAAAATATCTGTCAGCAAACCTCATATTCGTGTTCAGCGACCCAAAAAACATAAAGAAAAGTGATGATTAGGACTGTACCTAAACTTTCCGCTAACTGTCACTTATATTCCTAATATGCCTAGCCTAATAGGGAAATTCGCTAAAACCAATGCATCACACAAATTTGATTCACATTTCCACTGAAAACGAAAATATAAAACTAAGCGTGGCCGATGGTGATAAGAGCACATTTGATGGAGGAGTAAATGTCCTCTCAGCTGTCGAGTGTTGATAGGAACAATTGTAGTGGGAGCGATAGCAGCGCTGCGGTGACAGCTCCATTAACTACTGTCACAATGTTACAGGTAGGGGCTATTGTCCAAGATCTGGTGTAAGAGTAACGTAAATAACACTACATCGTTGATAAGTGATATGGATAAAAATTTGTTGTACATTTGTAAGTTAAAATTTTTTAACAATTACTTATGATTCATATAAGATAGCCCAAGTGTCGATTCAAGTGAATCATGTTCTCTTACGATTTTTGAGAGTGCGAAGTTTACTTATTCAGCTACCATCAACCGGGCATCTCTTTAACTGAGCGTAGTGGTTAAAACATCATATCCTTCTTCAAAGAGATAGGGATAAATGGTCGTGATCCTCTACACCTCCCTTTTAGACTAGCTTGCAACCCTTCCGCAGATATGTTTTATGTGCTTTACTCTTTTCTTAAGTAACTAAATGATCAGAAAAATTAACGTAAAATGTGTATTGTAGGATTTCGGCTTATGCAGCCATTTGTTATTAAATCAGATCTTTAGTCCCAAGGTGGCTGGAAAAGAAGTTATTATAGATAACACCTGGTATTGTATTGGTTGTGTACCAATTAAAATGCAACCACCTGGTCGCACGGGGCCAATCTTAACGTTACAGGCCCACCTAGCTAGTAAACAAAAAGGAGAATTTTCTCAGGAGAAGAGAGTTTTCTCTTTATTTGTGGACTTCTATCAAATCAAAAGTGATAATTTAATATTATACGTATACAGTATACAGTTATGTAATCTGAGAAAATCTGCCAGTTAAAAATACAGAATCTAAGGTCTGGGTGTGTTCATTTTGCAATGTGCTTTCCACTTCACCTCTCAAAATCTATTTACTGTTTTGTCAGGAATGTTATAGTACCTCCTCAGTATCGGTGGAGATGTTCTTGGATTTGAGTATCGCCTCCAGTCTGTCATACTCGTCCCGCAGATTCCAGATCTCCCTGCGGAGTTGGTCGTTCTCCCGCCGCAGCTTTTTAATGTCGTGTTGACCTGTGGTAACGTACATTCAATTGAGAAACCCAATAAGCAATATTATACATTGACCAAGGTTGAGATAATTCTATAACTACTTGGTTGGTAATTATGGAATCGTAGGATATTGATGTACCTAATAAGGATATTTTAAGTAATTTGCCTTTAAAAAGGCAGTAGTATATATTTTAATAAGACTATGTTGGTAGTTTATTACTTGATACTATTTTCTTGAAGAATTTGTTAACTTAAAAGAAGCTGACCTCTCTTTTTCATTCTAAAACATCAATCCCTTAGACTATCGTGCAATACTATAACAAAAACATTTGGAGAATCTTCCTTAAAAAGATAGAGTTTAAGCATATTTTTTAGAGACGCAGTTATATACGTGCCACTGCGTTCCTCAGAGGCCTGATACAGGGTGTGTTTTAAAACGCAACACAAATATTACAAGTACTTTAAGAGACACTGTTTAACGAGAAAACAAGCTATATATTGGTATCCCTGTTTTATTTACATGATTGCCGATCAGCCGATATGCATTTACATAGTTATCATTGAGGTTTAGGGCTATTGCGAATTTTTGTAAATAAGACTCAACATGGTGTTTTACAAGCTCAAATGTAGTATAATTTTAGATCTCCGATTTGTTTACCTAATACGGATCTGGTTTCTGGATTCTTCATGCCTTAATAATAGTTTACTTATTAAGGTACTGGAATCACACTTGGAAACTTTCCTTCAAAACTTTCATGTCATACAATGATTTAAGTAGTCTTCTAAATTTTCGAGCTTGGGAAAACTTGTTGGGTTTTATTTATAATCAATTCCTAATAACCCTAAACCTCACAACAACTATGTGCAGCCGATTTTACATTCTTCTTTTTAGATTATGTTTAGATATATACTACTGTGGTTCGTTTCCACCATACCTTTCTCCACCTCCGCGTTGATGTTGATGGTCCTCAACCGCAGTTCCTCGTTCTCGTAGATCATTCCCCTGGACGAATTGCGGTCCAACACGCGGTTGGGTTTGACGTTGACATCTCGACGTCTCGCTCTCAACATGGACGACGTTCCGGGCGCCATCGAGCTGCGGTCTATGATCACACTGAAACACAACGCATCAGAGTCAGATGTCGAGGGTTCAAGTCTCTGAGATGTCATACAAATTTAAATTTTGTTTGCAAAGTTGATTTTTGTGCTACATTGGTTCACTTGTCATTGTGTGATACTTTTTGTTTAGGGTTTAATGAATACGTCAAACATCTCACCTCTTTAAAATAAATTAAACATAAAATACACAAATAATTGAATTGAAATTTTACCTTCGTCAGCCAGCTCCTGATTTGTTACGACTTGTTACGGCCGTTTCAGCATCACTGTGCCATCGTCAGACTATTCAGCCAAAAGGCGTCGTTAAAACACAAAAATACTTTTACACGAAACACACATATATTTGTAAATATGTTTTTGTGTTTTAACGACGCCTTTTGGCTGAATAGTCTGGCGATGGCACAGTGATGCTGAAACGGCCGTAACAAGTTGTAACAAATCAGGAGCTGGCTGACAAGGTAAAATTTCAATTTAGTTATAGAACCAGCTCAGGGGCTAGAAAATATGGATTATAACACAAATAATATTAGTAATCGTATTTTTCAAATTTATTAATGAAATTCATTCGATAGTTAAAATGCTAACATTCCTAAATAGTTCAGCTATAACTAGATGAAAAACTAAAAGCTTAGAATGCAATAATCTAAAATCTAATAAATTTCATGTTCGGCACCCATTTATTACTTATAATTTTCTTATTAATCTATCCTTCACAGTGTAACAAGATAAGAGGAAAAATTAAATTCAGCCACTTATAATTTATATCTAACTAACACAATACAATAAGTTAAATTTTACTATTATACTATTATATTTTTAGTTTAATTAAATCCAAGATATAAAGTAGATACCAATTATGTAAAATACATTTTTTTGACGTACCAAGGAATTGGTTAAAGAAGAATTAAAAAAATATGTTGACTCTAGTTAAACAAAACAACTGCACTGTTCAAATTTAAAAGTAAGTACTGTAGTTTATTGAAGCAAGCGCCGACATTTCTCTGTTGGCACTTGCAGTACACCAGTGAACAGCGGCTTGCCTTTATATAGATGAAGGCGTTTGACATAATACTTCTTTCGTACATTTCGGTGATATGTGATAACAATACGAATACATTATGGATGTGTTAACTATAGTATACTAAAGAATGAACTATCCATTATTTTTTCTATCTCAATACTATTACAGAATATGATTAGCAGTATGTTAATTTTACTTAATTAAAAAAATATAAAAAACCTAGAAATTAATTAAAAATTTTTAAATTTTACTATATTTTTAATAATTTGATTATACAGTTTTAACAAACATATTGATTAATTGTAAAACCTTATTATGGCTAACTGAATCTTTACGTCTTTGAATTCAGTGTCAACAACTTTACATCATTTTTCTGAGGTTTAAATATTTCTAAGACTATTAATAAATACATTAATTGAGTAAAAACCAAGTTTTCTTTGTACCTTCAGGGAACCATTCAAGCTATTTGCTTAGAAACTTTGATGTCCCTCACTTGATGGAAAATAATAGTTTAAGGTTGGTTTGTATTTATAACAGAATTTACTGAACACTTTGCTAAACATACTAATTACTATTTACTTTTTTTCTTCTTCTTATAGGTTTTTTTCTCCTACTATTGATTTTTTAAATGATAATCGTGTTGCTATTAACATTCTATGATAACACGTTGCAAATGTCTTAAATGCTTAAAATACATGTTATATGCCACCTTATAGGTATTTTTTCACATTTTCTCGGTTGTATTGTAATTTACTTACTACGATTACATGTTAAAAATACCTTAACAAGTTTGAGATGTAAAAATGTAATAAGGAAATAATCAAAGCTTAACAGTTCGGTTTGGTTATAATAAGTCAAATGCACATAATTTTAAATAGCTTAATATTAATATTAAATTTCAGTAGTCAATTGGATACAATAAATGATGATTTCTTAGTGTGGCACATCAAGTTTAAAAGCCTTTCTTCTACTTGAATTTTAAGATCGTTGGGGGCAGATTTGTTGGTTTTACAATACTAACCAATAACTCATCTGTGAAAAGTGACAAATTGCTTTTTCACAGAATGACTACCTATACAGAATTTAACTACGTGTTCTTCGACATTTAATATACATATTTATTCGTTATGTATCTTTAGATATCTTATAATCTTTAGATCAACAAACAATCTAATTGGAAACTTCCAGCCTTCAATTCATGCAAAATTACGCCACTGCTGAGAATTTTGCATAGCACAAATATATAACAAAATAATGTAAATGCGAATCGAATAGTCAGGGCTGTAATACAGGAGCTTGAAAAAATTACGCTCTTTAAAACTCAATTACATTCGTTAAAACAATAACAATCGTCAATACTAAATTTCTTTTTACATTTTCTGACGTTGAAGTATAAGGTTGTGAACCAAATTTGACCTACAAAAACATGAACAACCATAACAGAAATATTGTTATCCGCTCTTAAACAATTGTATAGCTGAAAAAGTTCAATTCCAATGGTGCATTTATTACTGTAACAAATTATTAACAGGTTATACAAGATTATTTATGGCTCATAACAAATATATAAAGAGGCAAAAATCGTAGGACATAGAGAATAGCACATAGAACTTTATTGTGCGTATTCATTCAAATGGTTCCATGGGGAAATAGCCCTTTGATCTCACCAAGTCCCATTCATATTTGGTTTTGGTTGATTCTCCACAGAACAAAGATCCGCTACGCAACTGCAGAAACCCGAGTTGGGTTCTTTGTTGGCATCAAGACAATGCAGAAGCTACTTAAGTGAGTATAACGCTGTGTGCTTGTATATTGCTTCAAAATGCTAGAAAGTTGGAAATAGTTTCTCATAGAAGTTGTGTTTGTCCTACTTAATGACATTTAACATAGCGGGGGTCTTAAAAATAATCATTAATGAACTGTACCAATCCGTAAAGTTACTCTAACTGAATTTTATCTTCTATTCCAAACTTTAGTTGGCTAAATTATTTGTCAATTTTGACCAGAGAAAAAGTAACAAGCCATAAGAATCTAGTTTTCGTCATAGAGAAGCTGGTGTTCATCAAGCATACAACTTTTTACTGAGAGGTTTGTTTATAATTCGTAAGAAAATTCAAGTATACATTACTTTTTTTTTTTTTAAACATGATATTGTATGATGTGATATATTCAATAAACATAGTATTCTTACTTGGATGTGCTTCTCAAAAACGATAGTCTACTGCAGAGTGTATTAGAATCGTATATCTCGACTAAACGTTGTAGTTATTGATTTAAGTATTATTTTTTTAAACATAAACCTAAGAATCTGTATTATTGGGAAGATGGGTACTCGTATAAGGATTGTATACACATTTTCACTGTATATGCATTCAATTGCAGTGTATAAAATACATCAAAATTTATATATTCAATTTATTTTTTTAACTAACAAAAATCATTTTTCCGTTTACTCCACACCTTAAATAATGGACGTAAGCTATATACAATCATGCATTATAATGTACAGTACAACACATACAATTTTAATACTTACCTTTTACGCTTACGTTTCAATGGTAGAAAGTATTAACACATACAATCAATGCAGACGTATTATAGACTACACAGCATATACACATCTACATTATCATAGTGGTTAAGGGTGTTTCATACGACGAAATAAAAACTATTTAAGGATACACAAAACTACACAACAATTGTATCTACGTGAAATGTTAAATCTATTCCTTAAAATATAAATATAACCTATTACACTTATAGTTTGGTACTAAATTAAGGCATCATTGTTACAATGTAGTATATCAACTGAAATCAAGCTATGAATTATATTCAAGTTATAAGTCATAACAATGTATATCCATATTGAGCTTTGGTAACAACTTATCCACCAACTGCACCTCAAGCTGTTTTAAAGCTCTTACCTGTTATCTAGTACATTAAATTACATTGGAGAAAAAGATAAACATATATATATTGTTAAATAATAATTGCCTATTTCCAAACTTGTAACTAGAATATATTAAAGTATAATAAAAATGTTTATCAATTCTGTGATACACAAAAAAGTATGGTAAATTTTAAAATGGTTTAAAAATAAATAAATTCATGTAAGTACATTAGTTTACAACGTAGTGGTAAATAGATTACCGATTGTCATAGTCGTTAACCAGGCTACTCAAAGCATGTCACTTTATTGTGTACTCATATTCAGCAATATGAAAAAGAGTGTTTTTGATTTGATGACATCTCGAATAATAAAAATTGTAAAGTAAAAAATGCAAAACATACACTGTTACACAATTTTCATCAAATTAAATATAATATTTAGGTATATCGTGGGCATTTGGGTTGAAACGTAACCTATACCAGTAAAAAATTTCATCTTTACGTTTCTAACCATAGTTATGCGGTACGAAAATAACAGTCTCGTCCCTTAATTTCACAGAATATAGGTTTTGCCGATCACTATTTAATATGTAAATACTAGGTTTATCTGAAGAACTGTGAAATGTCAGAGAAATCAACTAAAATATTTCAGAGATTTTAAACAGCTGAAACAAGATTCGAAAATTGTCTTTAATGGTTCAAACATTTGACAAAAATACTGCATTGCAAATACTATATTTAGCAAGCATTTGTGTTTATTTATGTTTCCACGTCTATGTTAATATATGCAAAATATACCTAAGACCTCAGTAGATTGAATAATGAATGTTACTTTATGCTACATTACGGTTATGTTTACTTCGCGTCCCCAGACACAACCTAAGCACAACTCCAGTGTACGTACGTGTATCCTTTGGAGCGCAGGTAGTCGCTTCCACAGCCACAGTAATCTCTTCTTCTTCTTCTCCAAGACTCCGACTCCAGTTCCCGCCAAAGACTGCGTGTTTCCATCCGCTACCAACACACACACACTACTCACTATACTACTCTACTGTACACCGTGCAGGGGCTCTAACATTGTCAACTGTCAGGGTTATTTCCCCTGATGTGTAGGAGGAGACTCATCCACTAAACACCTATTTAGACATTCTGAAACACATCTTCAATACTTCTATATCTAGGAGCCTACCACATGCAGGACACATAGACCATCCAGTAGCCTTTATAGGGTACGGTGAAAAGCAATACAAATAATTAATTGTTGTACCATTGGTTGTGCGGTTTTTGACTAGTAGTTGTTTAAAAGATCATAGGAAATACGAAATATAGGAAAAGAGAGGACAATTTGTTTCTACTACAGCTGTTGTTTAACCGGGTGCCAAAAAGTGCAATACACTATTCTATACCGTATTATAGAACTCAAATATAAAATATAAATATATTCAAAGATTATGCACATTTAACAAATTCAATTTATTATTTATCCTTTAAGACGGATTTTCCAACTATTTTTGTCATTGTAAAGCCTCATACTGCCGATCAAAATTTTGGGTTTATGTATAATCATGTATAGATTAACAGTAAAGCTGTAAGTATATATAAATTGGCATTTTTCTAATTAAGAATAGCGAAAGAAGTAATAATAATGAGAAAAAAAACAAAAAAAAAAAACAAGCCTGGATTGTAATTTAACACGTGTCTCAAGATAACCTCAAGCCTCATCATTCTATTAATACAAATGTTTTGTAATTTGTAGAACATTTAAAAAAGCAAACAACAACAAAAGTTTAAATATACCAAATATATTAAAATATAAATTTACGAACTCATTTTTATTCGTTCTAAGTGGTGTTACAGAAACCAAACATATATTGATAAAAAATATTAAATGATTAGCTGAATGATCTAGAAATAACAATGACGTTGTGGAGATTTTCTCGAAACTATAAGCAATTTTGTCTAAACAGAGGAACTGTATGAACAGAAGAAGGTATCTTAAATTTTATTTATCTTTTTGAAATTGTTCAAGCCAGAAAATTGTCGTTTTAAGAGTAAGCGGAAGTAATATTTGGTGCCCAGACATGTCTCATATTATTTATACCATCTCAAAATAGACGGTGGTTACAAGTTGCGAAAGTTATTTCAGAGCATATCTTGTCCGTGACGAGTTATTTTAGAGTTGCTTGTTAATTTGGTTTCCTGTTTTTACTGTCAACGATCCATCTTGATCCTTCTCCTGTCAAGTAAAGGAAAAAAAAAATACAGATACAAATGATAAATTCCATTGCTAATCAACGAGTCCCGGGACTGAATTCCGTACAAATATATTTTAAGTCGTGAATGTTTTTCGTCGTTTATCTTAAATAAATGCCAAGTATATTTTAATAATTATTTATAGAATTTTTATTTTAATTTTAAACACAATGATTCTATAGGACAAACAAACCTAACTAAATGGAGGATTACAATAAATAGATGTACTGATAAACCGTATATCGATGTACAAACGTATCAAGATACCCTATAGTTACAATCGTATCTATCGATTCATTTGTTTTTCATGGTAGACTAGTTTGCAGCATTACGGTGCATTTTGTATCTCCGAAACACAATTTTAATTATTTTTGCTAGTTGATATTTTGTAAGTTTGTTTTTTTCGCCATTCGTTATATTGCTATACTGTAAACTAGTATATTAGTACCAAATTTGTTATTGTTGTTTAGTTTATTAACTATTTGTTTTAGTCATTCACTTAGTCCTACGTTAGCGTTTCATACTGTCATTGGTTGTTTCTGCCTTGCACTGTTATCAGTTACAGTTAATAAGTTATTACTTTTCATATTGTAAGTTGATATATAATAATATGTCATATCATAAGTTGATGTATGATATCATATTTATACTCAACGGTTCTTCTATATAAAAAAAATATTTAAAAATTAGGCATCCTACGTTTTTGTACATCATTGCTTTGTTACATGGAAAAATATAGATCTCCGTTGGAATGAATTAATAAATAATCTTGAGTACTGTGTTATATTAAGTTTGAAAAAGTCTCTAAAATTGTGTACGTTTTATCTTACAGCAGAAGAAATAAAGACTAAACATTTCCTTGTAAAACTCAACATTTCGCTTCCTTTTAATAATAACAAAACGATATTTTATGAAAAAGTGAAAGTCGCATTAAAACCGCTTCTTGTAAATTGATTGAAAAAGGTTTCAAGGGTGCAATAATCTAGAGATATTGCAGTCTGAAGTGGGAATAGACCGTGAAAGTGGAACAAAAGCAGAAGAGTGGAGAAGCGAGTAACGGAGTAGGGTGGAACAAAAGGTTGTCTCGAAAATTCACCTTCTTCTACCTCCGACACGTGAGGTTTACTCTTGTATTTCATTAGCGTGTCTTGCGCTATTTTGCGTATTCTGTAATGAACAGGAAATGTGAACTCGTTCAAAGAGACAATGATAAAACGAATCATATCAATATTGTAAAGCAAATGGAAATTGAATATTGTAAAAGTAAATGAATTGTTAAACAGAACATGAGAGAAATGAGAACGGACTAGGGATGGTTATTATGTTATTGGTAAAAAATATTCTCAATTCTTTTGTAAATTAAAAGCTTTCAATTAAATAGAATGTGGAAGTAAAATTATTTTCTTTTGATAAACGATGGACAAATATTTCATGACTTCGATAGCAGCGATGTATTAGAGAGGTGGGTCCAGTTTAGTAAAGGATAATAATAACAAACCTTACCCAATCATTAACGAGCAAGTATTTCAAAATGTACATTTTATTAAAAATTTATATTCTGTAGCTCATCAAATACAGATTTGTTATACCAGTACCCTCCATAAATATTGTGAAGAATACATATTTCTTACTTCATTTTCGATTCCTGTTTACGTTGAAAGTATATTTAAGAAGAACAAATACATGTTTACATGAATTTACAGACTTTTAAAGTTGCTGTTTGTAAACGCTGTAGTAATATATTCAAGTAGAATGAGTTTAATTACGTATACCTAATTAGTACCTAATTTAACATGTTGAATCCTAAGTTTAATGTGTTACGCACGGAACTGTTGTAAAATAGAAAATTAGAACGGTTTGAAATAACACTACTTTTTATTTGTCAGCCAAATTCCAATCCTACCCTATATGTATCTATCTGAATCCTTCATTTTAACTTTTCGCACTTACACTTAAATCTCATAGTTTTCACTCTTCCTAACAGAGGGAATCATAAAATGTGTTCCGAACATAAAAATTATGTTATGTGAAATATTGTTTCTATTATAATAATTAGCATTAAATATTTTTTGATCCAAAAGTTAATTTAATATCCAGGAAGTTGTAGGAGGGGCTAGCAAGGCCGGTTTTCATATGTGGCTGTCCGTACACCGGTACTTCGCTATTTGTGGATTTATGTGGTGTGGAATGGAATAAATCGGCGTGCAACAATCAAATCTATCTATAGCTGAGCTGAGCTACACCACGACGACGACAGCTGAGAGGGGCAACTAACAGCTGTAGGGATTTAAAAATATGTTTTTACTATGTTTAATTGTTTGTATTTGATATTTGAACGTTACAACGAATGAGCTAATTTCACAATGTTCGTTCTCAAAATTTTAAAGAAGCCCACATTTTACAAAAATACTTAATTTCGAGTGAAATAATTATATAACTTTCAGTCACTACCTAACCTTTTTTCTAGATACCTATCAATCAATCATTTTCCTTATGTTTACATTCAGAATGAGCTCTTAAAATTACTTCATGTCCCCGTAAATAACTCGAATTTATATCTGTATTATTAAGTGGTCGATTTTAGTAAGTGGCTTCAGAAAAAAACTTAAAAATATTTTAAAATTTAACATATATTGGTGATTGGAGGTCTTGAAGCACAGATTTGCAAATTTAAGTTTCATGCTTCAGAAACTACATAAACGTTGTATAAATTAGTTTATAAATAAATAATAACTTGTTCCAGTATGCGAATCAACCCAGTAAAAGTGTATAAGAATTGCAGTATTATTAGAAATAACGAACATAAATATAACGAAACAGTAACTTTATTATTGAAAACTATAAAGTGTTATTTATACTCAGATACAAATAGATACAATTTTGCTATAAAAATGCTTTCTCAGTGTAAAGAAATAAATAAGAAAACTAACGGTGACAGAAAGTTGGTTGTTGAGAAGGCGAATAGGTCAACAAACTGGAAACTGACAACAAACTAATATTACCTCAGTCGACATAGTTTCTAAATATTACTCATCGTCTGTTTCAATAATGATCTAGTATAACAGAATTTTACCATAAAAAATGAAACCACTTTAAGACTGAACGGACCTTAAATTATAAATTTTAACAAAGGACACAGCCTTGAAAATATTGGGCGAAGGCATCAATACTATAAGAGTATTGATTGTCGTTATTTCAGTCTGCTACAAAGGCTTTTCGAAAACAAAGATTACTTGGATATCAATTCATTATTAAATTAACGTGAGGGTTTCTATTGGTTGACTGTAATGTGGAGTGAGATTCGGGTGAAATTGATGATGGTTTACTAAACTGTCCATCAAACGATTTATAAGTCTATTGGTACAGGTTAGTTAGCGATTACAGAAATATAATACCCCCGCCGCAGCAAACCTACAGACTAAGCGAATTTCCATTTGCCATTTGATCAAAATATGTTCATAAACAAGCAAACTACAACAGTTTATTTATTCTACACAAGAATAACATAGGAATTTTAAATTTAAAGTTTTTTGGAATTTTCTCCGTAACCATTAGGCGCACAACAACGCTTCAATATACTAAGTTATTTGTCTTTTTAAGCTCTACAAAATGGCTTGGAAAGAAATTGTTAAATTTTAAGTTTTTACGGTCAAAAATGGGAAAACCCAATTTCTACCCCATAAAACCCCCCATAAGACCCCTGTTCCCATAGTCCGATCATGCTGGTTCGCGAACTCGTTCGAATAAACGTAGGTTTACAC